GGTCAGGGAGGATGGGAATTGTAGCTCAACAACATGAGGAGGGCTTTAGGATCCCAACCCCAGATTTCAGTTGATATCCAATAAAGCCACACTCTGGAAAAGCACATTCCAGTTCATAGATTCCAATTGTCTACTCTACGTATGCCTAACACTGAATATCTCCCACAGAGTTTATGATGCTTCTGGATGAAGTATATAATACACAAATAAAAAATATGGACAAAATTCTGAATCTGGATGGATAAACATAGCTTTAATTGTACCAGTAAAGTGAGAACCCATTAGCAAATCCTCGATGGCCTGTTTCTTATCTTACTGTGTTAATTATAGCATTTCAGGTTTTATTGTTAAACTATTAATGCTGATATTTTTGGCTCTTTTGTTACATGCCGGAGCTACTTGCCACATTCTGGGCAATACTGAGGTGCTCTCTCAGTGAAAGGTTTCATTTTTAGTTTAGCTGTCTTCTTTTATAGATGTGCTGCTATGTTTCAGCTGGGTTTTCTAACCACGCTAATTGCAACCAATCTCGGCACATTAATACCTGTCCCTATTGTATATACCATGTATAGCTCTTGTCAGCTGCTTTAATTGCTAATTTGCACACATATTCCCTGAAAGACCCCACAGGTAGGGGAAATGAGAGCCTACCAAAAGTCTGGCAGATTTTACTGATCTTTTGAAGCTGTATAAAGATTCCATTCACAGTTCCTTGATAATATGATTTAAAATGTATTGGCAATAAAACAGGTTAGCTTAATTCATTGAAGCAGAGCGGGGGGGAAGGCATTTCTGGGCCCTGCACTTCAAGGAAAGGTTCCCCTGACGTAATTATATTTTCTGGGAGTACCATGGTGTTATATTTCTCGTCCCCTTTACTTTCCCCATCAAAAACTTTCCTTGCCTTTATTTATGCCAAGCTTTTAAAGTACAATTTATTTATTTATTTTAGTACAAACTGAATTATCTACTGTGCCCTAGACTTCTATATTGACAAGCTTTTGGGGCCTGTGGGCATGTTTGGAATATTGAGAAAGTGCTCTGGGGGCCAGTCACAAAATGTCTGCCATGGGGGTCACAACTAAAGCAGAAAAAAGAGAAAGGACTGCAAAATGGAGCAGGCTTTCCCTGTTAGGTATAATTGTTTAATTCACACTGAAATGAAGAATGCCTCTATGGGTTGAACACTGGAATAGTCCGGTGGAGTATAGTAAGCTAGAAGCAGCTTTCTCACTGAGTTAATGATTAATGTTCTCTGCTCTTTACACATGAGTGTTTAACCTTTGACCATGTGATTAAGGTATTCAGTTGCAAATCTCCATCTTAAAGGGAGTTGCCTCCTTAGTCTTTCTCTGGATGGAGGCTCATCTGCAAGATTTTGGAAAACATTGTTATTATAAGTGTCTTTAAAAGAAGAATAAGTTAGGACAAACAAGACCGGGAACAAAAGGTTGAAGTGGGAAGTGCTGCAGTTCAGGATTCCAGCCACTCCATTCCTTTCCTACTTTCCTCGGGTTTTCTGTTGCTCGCTCCCTGAGCATGCTCGTTCCACTTTGGGCTGTTTTTGTCTTCTCTCTGAGTGTTTATTTATTGTAATTCCACAAATCAGGGTTTCCCCACCACTCAAGCCTGACCTCTTTCTAGAAAAAGAGGTGCTAGAACTCACAGTGAACACCCCACTTGTTCTCTTGTAATGGCAATGGTGCCCACCTGAAAGGGGCCAGAACTGAGCTCAGTGAGTTCTGGCTGAAAAAAAGCCCTGCTCTTCTGCATGGGTGGAGTCATTTTGCCTACATAAGGACCAGCATGTGGAGAATTGGGTCCACTATTAGTCTATAATGATAGGATAGATATAATCAGAGTGAAACAGGTTACTATGGTTTTCTCCTTACCATTACCTGTGTGCCAGAGAACAGCAGCACAGACTGAAGACAATACAAAACTCTATACATTTGTTAAACTTTGTGATATTTACCTTATAGTTTGATTCTGTGGTTTCCTTTCACCATTAAATGTGCTCACTATGTCCGCCATATTAACAGATCCACACCTATTTACATTTCTGATCTTGGTCCCTGTTTATTTCATACACAACTTCATAATTATTTTATTTTTTTCAACTTCTTATATTTAAGCTATATATAGTTTCTGTTCTTTAAAAAAGCTTTTTGTGCAAAAATAATGAAAACAATTAAAGTTAGAAGCTTCTACCTCAGGTTTAGCATCTTGCTAAATGTATGCAGCTCTGTGACATGTTTTGCCTTGGCTACCTCAATTACAATTGCCTCTTTATTCTCTGAGTTTGGATGGAGCCCTCCAAGTTGGCTGGCTCTGGCAGTTTGAATTAGGGGAGCAAACTTGCAACCATATTGGGCTTTCTTCCTTTTCTCAAAAGCCATTCCCCAGGGAGTTTTCTGCTTTACTTTACTCTCTGCTTTACTTGAGGAAGAAATCAGTACAGCGAGCCCAGTGAGCAAAGAGAGCTGTGAAAAGCCTTGTGATTATATTTTACTAAATTTAGGGGACCCATGGGAAATTCTGATCTTGATGGAAGAACTAGGGTTTTGTTGAGGTTGCAGCAAAGGCAAATCTAATTTACCAGGCCCAATTCCAAATCTTAAGCTATGAATGCTGCTATTTTGGATGTCTACTTACCAGAGAGTGGCTTCGAAATTCCTCCGTGCCTTTGCTAAAATCCAAACGCAAAGAAACATAATCTATTGTAGGAGACAGAAACTATCCTGTCATCACTGATGCTAAATGGAAAATTTATGCCAATATGATTTCTACTACAGATGGGTAAATATATCAGCTTTGGTTTTTCGCATCTGCTCACAGACACATTTTTGCAAAGCAATTTCCCATAATAAATAGCCCTTTTGCATGTTATTTTCACTATACACTAGTATATAGTGTATACAGCGGGTGGTGCTGTGATCTAAACCACTGAGCCTAGGGCTTGCCGATCAGAAGGTCGGTGGTTGGAATCCCTGCGACGGGGTGAGCTCCCTTTGTTCTGTCCCAGCTCCTGCCAACCTAGCAGTTCAAAACCACATCAAAGTGCAAGTAGATAAATAGGTACCACTCCAGCGGGAAGGTAAATGGCGTTTCTGTGCACTGCTCTAGTTTCGCCAGAAGTGGCTTAGTCATGCTGGCCACATGACCTGGAAAAACTGCCTGTGGACAAACGTCGGCTCCCTCGGCCAGTAAAGCGAGATGAGCGCCGCAACCCCAGAGTCTTTCGCGACTGGACTTAACTGTCAGGGGTCCTTTACCTTTATACATTCTTAGGCATCTTTTCCATTGCAAAGTTCAGCAAAGTGTGAATTTCAATGGCTAGCTGTGTTTTTGTTCATGTACTGAAGCGTGAATATTAGGTGGGTTTGCCTTTAAGGGGAATTTCTCTTCCATCCTACAAAAGGAGTCTGAGTTTCATGGAAATCCCTCCAGGTCATAAAAAGTCAATTAACATTGATAGAATGATTGGATCCAACAGCTGAATGACAAATACTTAAGAAAATTATAGTTGGTTGATTTGAAACTACAACTTCAGGCCATGCTGCGGGTGAACATAGGCAATTGTTTTTGAAGTGGTAGCTTATCACTTACTAAGCTGACTGACTGTATTGCCATGCCAAGTGGTGGTGGTAGGATTGCCACTCCCTTGGTTCCTCAGGTTTTTGATCGCATGTAAATTGTTAAAGAGTATTTAAACTTGATTGGAATCATGAGATATGGACATCAATGGAAGTCCTGAATAAGGCATAGAAAGGGGCATTAAACCTGAATGAAAGAGAACCAATTCACCCCATTCAAGGTATGAGAGTTACATCAACTCAAGGGTATGTTTGCATGCTTGACGGACGTGAAACTCAAGAATGATGCCAGTGCCATTGTGCAACTATTGTCTCCAAATGTCTGTAGGGTCGTTTGCTTCAATACCATGGAAATCAAATACTATGGAGAAGTCAGATAGGAGGGCAGTGGGAGAGAGGCTCCCTCAGATTTCCTTCCAAGGAGACTATTAGCCTTTCCCAATTCACTCACCGTTTCATATATTCTGCTGATCTTGAGAAACCCACTTTTGGTGCCAGTGCCAAAGTTTTGTTGATGAAGTATGAGAAGCCTTTATAGACATTCTGAATGATTACAGGGAAGGCAGGGGGAGGGGAGGAGGAGGAGGAGACCATGGCAGCTGGCCAAGATGCAGTCATTAAATTGGAAAGAGCCCTCCAGACCCATTCAGCTGTGCACATTCCCTTAGAGCAGGGATAGGGAAGCTGTGGTTCGCTGCTGCTGATGCTGGACCGAAGCTTCCTTCATGGCTGTCCCAACAGCATCTGGGGGTGAGCTCTCCATCCTTGACTTAGAACGCTTGGAAAGAGCTGGAGTTCAGCTGAAATTATTTATGTAGTTTCAGTTTCCTTCTCACTGAAAAACAATGATTACCCATTTGCCATCTAAAATTTTAGTTGCTGGTTTTCATACAAGCCCTGCACACAACATGTGGCTCAGAGAGAGCTGTGCAGGTAGGTCCAAGGGAGCATTTGAAAATGTACCAGGAGGCTCTGCAGTCCCACAGGGCCACAAAACCCCCAGAGAACACACACGGGTTGTACACTCCCTGAGCAGGAAGCTTCTCAGATGAAGTGAGCAAAAATATAGCTAGGTTTCTTCATTTCCTGGTAATCCCCCCTATGCAATTGTTGGGATAACTGGTGCGTAAGCCAGGGCTGTAACCAGTCCTAGTCCTGTATATGGAGAAAGACTGGCATGCAATGGCTGTGATCAGGACCATGCTCAAGATGAAAGTTCAAATAACACAGGATAGCCTGTGAGCTACCTATTGGCTTGCTCCTCCTTTCTCAAATATTTACATCTTTGTAGATTGCATGAAAATGATCGTCCTACCCTCCCGTTAATCACCTTTGAAAGCAAAGTTTCAGGGTATCTGCTTACCATATCCAGTTGATTATAAGATAAACTGTTTTGTTTTTCAGGTTTTGTTCCTAATGAATGTTTATGGCCAGCCCAATGTTCAAAGCAGAGTTACTTCCTGAAGCCCTTTACAGGAAATGACACTGGAGTCAGCACAACTACTTGTAAGGATGCCGTTTCATATTTGAATGCGTACGTTCCTCATACCAGGCAGATGGGCAGACTGATCCTATCCATGTTCATCTGTTTGGGGTGCAAATTATTCACAAGATGCAAGCCCTCAGTTGTAATTTGGCTTAAATCTGTTCAAAGTCGATGGGCATCAGGCAGCCTAGGAATAAGATTTCAGCCATTGTTATTAATCTATGCAGAAAAACAGCTGGATGCAGTCAATATGTAATGACAGAACATCTATTAATACAAGTTTATCTTTTCACAAGGTTCAAAGAGATGGGTGTGTCCCCCCAAGTCCAACAGGAAATAAATCTCCTTAAATCATTATTAATTTGGAGGGAAATCCAAGACTAAAATGACTGTAAATTATTGGCCAGGATTCTTGGTCCTGTCACAGCAGAGGCCTAGAAGCATGCACTCTCTGAATGCCCAGTCAAAGTCTGGTTTAAGATAAACAAAGATAAGAAGGAAGAACAGGAACAATGAAGTTGCTCTTCAGCTGTGAGTGGGCTGATTGTGCCAATCTCCTGCACTGTTTAAATGTGTATTCTATTTCTATAGCTGAAAGAGAGTCTTCTCCCTGAAGTGTCTCCACCTCCATCGTTCAGCCCGGATACTGAGATCCAGCTCTGAGGGCCTTCTGGCGGGTTCCCTCACTGTGAAAAGTGAAGTTACTCTTCTTGGCAGTGGTGCCCTCCCTGTGGAACGCCCTCCCATCAAATGTCAAGGAGATAAAACAACTATACAACTTTTAGAAGACATCTGAAGGCAGCCTGTATTGGGAGGTTTTTAATGTTTGCTTTTTTATGTTTTTGTATGTGCTGGAATTCACTCAGAGTGGCTGGGGCAACCCTGCCTGATGGGCGGGGTTAAAAAATAAAATTATTATCATTATCATTAAAATGATAGTCATTATTTCTAAATTTTCATCTCTACATATAACTTAGCACATGCTAATTTTATGCAAACCAGCACCCTCTTTCTGTTGATGCACTACCTCTTCTGTGTTACATAAGGTAAAGGTACCCCTGACCATAAGGTCCAGTCACGGACAACTCTGGGGTTGCAGCGCTCATCTCGCTCTATAGGCCAGGGAGCCGGCATTTGTCTGCAGACAGCTTTCAGATCATGTGGCCAGCATGACTAAGCTGCTTCTGGCAAAACCAGAGCAGCGCACGGAAATGCCGTTTACCTTCCCGCCGGAGCGGTACCTATTTATCTACTTGCACTTGACATGCTTTCGAACTGCTAGGTGGGCAGGAGCTGGGACCAAACAACGGGAGCTCACTCCGTCACGGGGATTTGAACTGCCAACCTTCTGATCATCAAGCCCTAGGCTCTATGGTTTAGACCACAGCGCCACCTGCATCCCTCTGTGTTACATAAGCAGCCCCTATAAGAAGGGTACCGAGAACTATGGGGATTTTCTTTCTTGTGGTCCTCAGTCTCCTTGGACGTGGCCACATATAAGAGGTGTTTGCAGACTGCATTCATTGAGCGTACAATCTGTGTACCTGTGTGTACAGTAGCTGAACTGTACAAATCAGCAAGTGTATACTCATTTCACATGTACAATTATTATTATTGTTGTTGTTATTATTATTATTATTATTATTTATTTATACCCCACCTTTTTCCCTTACAGATGAAATAAAGGTAAAGGTACCCCTGCCCGTACGGGCCAGTCATGTCCGACTCTAGGGTTGTGCGCCCATCTCACTTAAGAGGCCGGGGGCCAGCGCTGTCCGGAGACACTTCTGGGTCACGTGGCCAGCGTGACATCGCTGCTCTGGCGAGCCAGAGCCGCACACGGAAACGCCGTTTACCTTCCCGCTAGTAAGCGGTCCCTATTTATCTACTTGCACCTGGGGGTGCTTTCGAACTGCTAGGTTGGCAGGCGCTGGGACCGAACAACGGGAGCGCACCCTGCCGCGGGGATTCGAACCGCCGACCTTGCGATCGGCAAGTCCTAGGCGCTGAGGCTTTTACCCACAGCGCCACCCGCGTCCCTTACAGATGAAATAAGAACTGCTAAAAACATAGAAAAAGAATAATTAAGCATAAATAGAATTAAATCTCTCAAATCTATTAAAAACATACAAACAATCACAACTTATTATTGTTTGTTTGTTTATATTATTATATTATATTATATTATATTATATTATATTATATTATATTATATTATTATATTGACACCCTATTTGACACCAGGGACTCCTTTTGGGAAGAAGGGCAAGATATAAAAACAATGAACAAATAAACAAGTCACATACAGATGTTTTTGTATGAGAGACAGCTTGTACCTGTGTTCAGTGTCAGGGGTCAACAAGCCTATAACCAAACTCTGCTTTAGGCAAAAATGTTAGTGGCAATTCTGCTATGAATTCTCTACTTCATGTCTTCACAGGCAATACGCCTCTAACCAAGGCATGCAGATCTAATAATTCAGATCAGACAGTGATACCCATTCCATCTGGGGATGTGTGTATGCTTAAAAGCAAAGGGCTGGTTATGCACTGCAGCCATATCTGAAACTTTAAACTTCCACAATACAATTTTATTCCCCACAATTGCATGGCATATTTCCCCCATAAAATATACATAGATACCTATTAATGTGTAGTCCCTGCTAACCTCTGCTTTAAGTGTGTGTGTAGGGGGGGCGGAATTCTATTATTCCTGTTTGTAGACAAAATGGGGAACAGATCACAGCAAGCTTGAACAGGAAATTAAAAAGTAGGTGTGATCTCTGATGTAACAGATCTCTTTTAGCTCTCACCCCATACCACTGGTTTTCTTACATTTACACACCTTATTTTGTTTGCTCTATTTAATCATTTCATCTTATGTCTCATTCTCCAGAATACCAAAGCTCTAAAAATGTGTTGCTGGGAAAATGTTGGCTTACGTCAATTCATCTTAACTATTGCCCTCGTGTTCTTGGGCAAAAGTTGATTCATTTCCCAACTTTCACTTTAGTTTCCTTTAAATATTTTATTGCCCTATTTTTATGGCTCTGGGAATAGCAAAGTGCTGTGTTAGGCTAGGATTATATAGAGTGATGACCAAAATTAGTGATACTTGAGAGTAGATCTATTTATTTCAATGGGTCTACTCTGAGATTGACTAATGTAGTCCCTGTTTGTTTCACCACTCTGAAAAAATTGGTGTTATCAGCAAACATGGCCATCTTGCTGTATTTTTGCGTATTGCACCAAAAACTATATATGGATGAAATTTTCTGAAAATATAGATGTCACACACTCCCATCCCCTTTATACTGATGAGAAGCAATGTTTTTTCCACATTTTTCACTAAAATACAAACAATTTTCACTTATGAACAACACAATTAAAAGTGATTAAGTTTAGTTTATGGCAATAATTTTTTAGTGGTACATTTGCATTTTCTACTACTGATCCAGTCATTAAACAGAAATGCATAAAATATGCTTTGCTTTAATTAACAAGCTGGCCTGTTTAGAAACAAGTGGTTTTCACAGTTAGACAGCATTATTTAGGATAATTTAAAATGACTTATTGGTTCATTAACATTTGTAAGAAAGAAGAAAATGGTTTTCCCATCCTCTGATATATTGAACGATGTTAATATTGTTTTCAAAACATAGAATGGGTGGACTTTTCTGTTGCCCGAATACTGACAGCTTCTGCATGTGTAGCTGGCCTTGGACCAGGCTGCCTGGAGCATTGCTTTCTTCCTATATACCAGCCAGATAACTGTGATCAACTGGAGAAGCCTTCCTGCCTGGCCCATAGGGATGGATGAATATGTCAATTTTAGTCTCTCCCTGTTAAGTTGTGGGCGAACATATCAGACGACACAGCGATTCTTCCACAGCAGCTCTTTATTTGTAAGCTGGAACATAACTGAACTGAGGAGCTCAGTCAGCCTGCTTATATAGAGCTCCAGAACAATGTAACTGTTGCCATTTTCTAAAACTATCCAATCACTGAACGTCACTTTCGATCCTTCATTTGCATACAAACTATCCAATCACTGAACGTCACTTTCGATCCTTCATTTGCATAACTATCTACAGTATCCCCCTGCTGGCCCAGGGTGAGAACTTCAGTACATAACACTCCCAGTCTCCAAATTTGGAGATTCCCAGTCTCCAAATTTCCATTTGTTCTCATCACTCCGCTGGCACAGATCACCCAAATGTATCAGCAGAAGGCTCACCAGTGGTCTCCCCACCACCATCAGAGCCTGGCAAAGTCCCCCAAACAGGGCGTTCTGGGGTCAGGGCAAGGCTAAACCAGACCTCTGGGCCTGATCTAGACCTGATCCATTAAGCCTGCACTGGACTTGATTGCTGAACTAACCTGAAGCTGCCACAGAGTCAGACCCAATCTGTCTGCCCAACTGGATTCAACTGCTGCTGTAGCAGCAGCAGCAGGTTACAATTGCTCTGAAAATCAGGAAGGGATTAGCAGCTATGTCTTTGTGACAGTTGCAGTTGTGGGGAAAATCTTACCTGAAGACTACCTCCCACCCAGATCTGTCCCTGTTTCCACGTGGCTATTAAAGGCACAGGAACATCTTTAGCTATTGGCATAGGAAATTCTTATTAGTAGTAAGCATTCTTAATGTCTTTCGGATTCCCATGCATCATGAGTTTGTTAAGAAGACTGGAATGTTAAAAAGTGGTGTCTGTTTATTTAAATAGGTTTCTGCAACCTCAGTATTAAATAATTACATCCTTTAAAAATAATATAAAAAGGAGAATATTAAATCACAGAGCCATCAAGAGGAGGAATTATTTTGCCTGTGAAGTTTAGTTGTTGCTGCTGGAATTCTCCTAGGAGAGGTGTAGCATGTGCCAGTAATTAATTACAGCTTGGTCCATGGCTTGTTCACACAATACCTAAAAAAAATGGGAAGGTAAGTGTACATCCATTCCTTGCCCCAAATAATTCACACTGACACCATGTTTCAAATCTCAAAAAAGGCCTATAGGTATCTATAAATTCCAAATGTCCTTTGTCAGAGTTTTAAGACAGATTGCCTTCAGCATGTCTTCTCAACTCCCAGCATTTGTGGGTAATCAAGGGCAATACTCATCGTAAGGAGCAATAAAAAGTGATCCCTCATTCAACAACTGATGTAGCATGAAAGTTAAAATGCAATCCAGATTCAGAAAAGACGTTTGCCCCGAAAAATGCTCAAGAATTCCTTAATGATGGGAATGCCCCGAAGGTTGCTTTAAGTGGTTTTGCCTTTGATGTAATGTTGGGGCATGAATGTTTCATCTTCTTTTGCATTATGGATAGAAAACTCGGCCATAAATAGGTCTGTATTATATTTAAGTCAGAGGGGTACAGTACTCTTCTAGGTCCCAGCTTGCGCTCCAACAACCCCCACCTATGCTATTTCTATCCAACATTTAGAAATCTCCTTTTCACCCCACCCCTCCTTTGCAAACCATCCATACTGAAAAGGATAGAGAATGCAAAGTGGTAGAACAGGGGCAGGAGGAGAGTGACAGTCTGTGGGGACAAAAGGAAGGACTCAGGTTTATTACTCGACTGAGAAGAATAGCTTTCAGGGCCAAGTCAGACTGAATTGGGGGCTGCATTTGCTTATTCACCTTTGCCCATTTGGGTATATCAG